AGGACAGGACCGGATGGGTGGGAAACAGGAAAAGGAAAATACGCCAATTAACAACATTACGTTTTTGTCAGATGCCCACAGACGAGTAAAAGTCATGCTGTAATTTTTGCAAATACATCCAGCTCCTGAGTTGTGAAAACAAACACCACAATAGGTAATCTCCCAAGACACCCTTTCTCACTCTCTTTTTTCTGTTCCTCCCTCTCACACCTACTGACAGAAAGAAAAGGCTTAACATGTGTAATGAAAGCTGCACGTGAGAGCCTCCATGGCTGTACCGACATGTGTAGAGTCAGCGATGCTCTTTGTCACGCCGCCTTCACTGATCTCTGTGCTATCCGAGCCAAAACCTCTCAGCCTTTCCTCACGCCCCTTCTCCCTTCCCACCGCCCTCTGACCCCTTTCACCGGGGCCAGAGCTCCCGCAGGCACACTGCAGAACTAAGCGACATCATGCAAGGACCCTATTTATTCAAAGATGAGGTTGCCAAGAACAAGCATATCTTTTTGTGCTAAAAAGAACTGATAACAGCAGCTCTTTTTTTCCAGCATAGAGTTTGCCCTTTAATTTGAAACCACAGTTACTGTTGTTACGCTGATTTCATTTCTTTAAGTCTTTGGTGGACCTAAAGTTTTTTTCTTAAAGGAAAATAACCTGTCAGAAAAAAACACCACCATCTAACCATGTAGCAGAGGACACTCAAGATTTAATTTCTGGTTTTGTCAGTGTTTCACTACATAATCCTTTGGCCCATTTAATCTCAAATTCTTACAGAAATTTTGAAATATACTAGGCCATATAAAGTGATTTTTTAAACTATTTTCTTGTTTTTGCTACATCTTACTGACAATTATTTTACTCACTGAAAATTGATTAAATACATGTATAGATACAAAAGATAAAATCCATCTGTTACTATTTTACAATTGCCAGTTACTAACTTTAATATTTACTAAATACTAATTGCATCCCTACAAGTTCAACTAACAAAGCATATAAATAATCGAAGAATGCTTGAAACTGGGAAGTTAAGGGAGAGAAAAAAAAATAGGTGATCCCTCATCTGATATCTGATCTGGAACAGTCATACTAACAGAGTTAGGGGGAGTGTACAGGTAAGAGTAATTAATAGCAACAGGTGAAGTTAAAAAAAATTATCAAGTGAGTTAATTTCACTTACTGGTAAATGACTCCCTGAAAACAAGAGGTAAAATCCTCCTTCTTCCCTCCAGCCGAGAGCTGAGTAGCAGTGCCATTCCCGGGAGGCTTGGTGGTGCTAAAAGGAAGCAAGATGGGTGTAAGATCTCAAAAGCTGTGATGGAAGGCGTGCCAGCCACTCATCCTCCCACCTCGAGCACTTTTTAGAAAGTGAATCATCACATTAAATGTTATAATCCAATTTCCAAAATTGTTCTACTCCACGTAAAGTGCTGTCACCTCTAATAATCTGACAGGCAAATGCATGCATTTCAAACACCATTCTCTTCAGATTCTGTAACACGTGACGCTCGGCATGGGTCCACCTTCTCCTCCCGGCCAGGGATGCAGATCTAGCTCCTGCTCATCATGCTCCAGGCCACGGCTTCCCCCAAAGGCTGGGGCCTCCGTGCTCCGGCCTCTCTGCGGACTCATCCCGTAAAAATTTTTGGACGACGAATGTGAACTTTCTCTCTCTGGCTCGACATTTCAACTGGAGCCCTGGTTCTATCGTTTCAACTGCTTGGGAATTTCCCCTTAAATGTCTAAAACCAAAAACTGGTATCTCTTTCCAGTGATTACATGCCTGATGGTTTGTTCTTCAGGCCTGGAAGCCTGGAGGCGATTTCCGCCTCCCATTCCCTCTCTCTCATTCCGCTGCACCCCTCACGGGCCCTGCCTTGGCCCTCTCGCATCTCCCTGGACAACTCCATCACTGCCTCACTGCTGGACGGCCTCACCAGCCCGCCCTCCCGTGTCCTTTTCCGCAGGTCATCTTTGACACTGCTACCAGATGAATCTTCTGCTGGACACCATGCTTTTTTCCTTTTCAAAATCGTACCATCGGGCCTCTCCTTCAGAACCCACTGTGGTCGTTTTAAAATGTGTTCCCAGACCCTGACACCCCCTCCTTGAAAGGAGGAACCCAGTGCCCTCCCCTTGAATGTGGGCTGAACGCACTGGCTTGCTTCTACGGAACAGAATGTGGCAATAGTGCTGCCTGCGCCCAAGTCTCTGCCCCACAGAAACTGCTAAGAGATCATACATGTGTATGGGTGTTCTAAGCCCTGGATGTGGGGGTCAACTGCTACATGGCAACAGAGTACTAAATCAGAAGAGCTCTCTGCCGCCGAGAGGACCAAATCCACACCTTTAGGGAACTCCAGGTCTCCCACTAACTGCCCGTACTTTATCTCTGAGTACAGGCACACTGCTCCAGTCCGAGGGCTCACATGACAGGGTGAAATTCTGCCTCGACGTCAGCCCATGCCAATCTCCCAGGAAATGTCCTTCTTGATTCTCTCCCCTAAACTACACTCAATACTTTTAGTCTAAATTCAAAGTCTACTGACCAATGAAATTTTTCTGTTGTTGAATACATGTAAGTAAATATATATCTGATTTCCAAAACTGTATTGAAGTTAGGTAAGGTGTAAATCATGCTTTTGCTCTCTTTAGATTCCCCATATCAATGGACAAATAGATACACACTTTTTGTTTAGAATTAACTTTCATGAGGCTTCTTTCAAACAAAATTTTGAATGTCTTTTAACAACGAACATATACAATAAAGTTTACTTGATTTTAAAAGCGTCGAATAGTTTTGAGAGGATAACTTGGTAGAATACGTCACCAAAGATATATATACATGGCCTATGACTAAGCAATTCCATTTTCAGGAATCTATTTTACAGATACAGTAACACAAGTAAGCAAGAATACAGGTACAAGGGTATTTTCCTCAGTACTGGGCATAACAGGGATAAATCAGAAGCAACATGAAATACCTCTGCAGAGAAAAATTAAATTAGGGCACAATGGATTATCATGGATCCATTTTATTTTTATTTTTTAAATCTTTATTGTTGAAAAGATTATAGGTCCTCCTTTCTCTCCATACGCCTCTTACAGCCTGCTCCTGTCCTCCCGTCCCCTCAGGCCCTCACCAGCCCGTTGTCTGTGTCCACGGGTTATACATATATGCATACAAGTTCTTTGGTTGACCATGGATCTATTTTAAGAATTAAATAGGTTTGCATGTACAGGCCAGATCTCCATGATATAATAAATGATAAAAGCAAGTTTCACAAAGAAAATAAAATATTTAACAACAACTATGTAAAACCCATCTGAGAAAAACTTTTAAAACATTCTTAAAAAGGCACAAATGAAGATTTTAACAAATAGACATTTCTTATTTGGGTATGGAATAAGACATCAAAAAATGTTTAGCACATGCCCGGTTGTAGGCTCGATCCCCAGTGTGGGATGTGCAAGAGGCAGCCAACCAATGATTCTTTCTCATCCTTGATGTATCAGCCTGCAGACTGAAGGGTCCTGGGTTCTATTCTGGTCAAGGGCACATACCCGGGTTGTGGGCTCAATCCCCAGTGAGGGATGTGCAGGAAGCAGCCCATCGGTGATTCTCTCTCATCATTGATGTTTCTATCTCTCTCTCCCTCTCCCTTCTTCTCTGAAATCAATAAAAAGATATTTTAAAAAAACATTTTGAAATAATAGATGAACTCTGTATTTAGATAATATTATTGCATCCGTGTTATCCGTGTTAACTTCCTAATTTAGAAAAAGAATAAACTTAAAAAATTAGGGAGGGGAGTAAGCTCTGGCCAAGAATTCATACTGTGAATCTAACAATGAGGAAACATCAAACACAAACTGAGAAACTTTCTAATATAAAAAAAAAGACTCGTCTTCCAAAATATCAATCTGATAAAAGACAAAGAATAAAGGACATTTTTACCTCAACCGACAAAGCTGTGATACAGATAGTAGATTAGATGAAAATATTTTAAGAATATAAATACAAATATTCTTATTCTTAGGAAATACACACTGAAATATTTAGGGGTAAAGGGCCATGATACACACACACACACACACACACACACACATATATATATTCAATGATTCAAAAAATATATATACATATACATACATAAATATAGAGAAAGAAAATATGCGTAAATGATAAAGTGGGGAAAATGTTAATAAGTGAATCTAAGTAAAAATAGTTGTTCTTTGCATTATCCTAATGGTTTTTTGCAACTTTTTAATTTTTTAAATTTATCTTTATTGTTGTATTACAAATGTCCCCTTTTCTTTCCCCACTGACCACCTATCCCTGATTCCCACCTCCAACCCAGGCCTTCACCACACTATTGTCCGTTCCCATGGGTCATGGAGATATGCATATAAGTTCTTTGGTTAATCTCTTCCCACCTCCTCCCCTTCCCTTTAAGAATCTTCAGTCTGTTGTATGCTTTCATGTCTCTAGATCTATTTTGTTCACTAGAATCCACATACAAGTGAGATCATGTGATATTTGTCTTTCTCTGACTGTAAGCTTGCTTAGCTTGATTAGCTTCATTTAGTTTCACAATCCCCATCAACTCTGAATGAACTGATAAAATCAAATTTCTTCACCTGCAAAGTCCCGTCCTGGACACCTGATCAAACAGTGCAGAATTCCTCTGGCTCCTAAAGGCCTGCCTGCCTACCTCCCTGAGCAGTCAGTGGCTTCCCTCCCCAACAGAAATTTAACTTCCACTGTTGAAATGTTAAGTTTCCAGAAGCATCTGTCAAGGGAAGATCACCTGTCTCCATTAACCTAAGGATACCTAACAGACACTGGGAGCAATTCAACACTCACTGATTAATAAACATTGGCCTTCAAGAGAAAAGGCACTAAGTACTAATCAATAGCTTTGTGTTAATCTTATGTACACAGAAAATAAACTGTGTCTGACTTAACTCCGAAATTAATGCAACATATTTCAAAACGCTGCAAAATATCAATTTTTAAGTATAAGTATCATAAGTTCACCATATAATTATATAAGAACTACCATACAAAATAATCAAATAGCTATCAAATGGAAATAATATTTACTCGAGGTTTTCTTTTAACTTCCATATAATCTTTCATATAAAACCCAAGAATCTGTCTTTTTAAAAATATCAAGAAAATAGCCAGACATTACTCCTAAATATTCATTTTCTTTTAGCAGCTTTTTAAACATACTTATCTTTTATCATCAAAGGTATTATGAATATATATGAAGTGTAAATTCTGAGTCCCATTTGCCATCTTCTGTACTTTTCTACTGAAACTACAAAATTCTATTCTTGTTTCTTAGAGGAGAAAAAAAAATATCCTTTATTCCAGTGATTTTCAACTAGTATTGCACAATTTTTAAAACTTGCAATACCTGACTATCCTATATAATCCTATATAATAAAAGGCTAATATGCAAATCGACCTAATGGCAGAATGACTGGTCGCTATGACGTTACTGACCACCAGGGGGAAGACACTCAAAAGGCTAATATGCAAATCGACCTAATGGCAGAACTACTGGTCGCTATGACGTTACTGACACCAGGGGGAAGACACTCAATGCAGGAGCTGCCCCCTGGTGGTCAGTGCGCTCCCACAAGGGGAGCACCACTCAGCCAGAAGCTGGGCTCATGGCTGGCAAGTGCAGTGGTGGTGGTGGGAGCTTCTCCTGCCTTCATGGCAGGCGGACATCCCCCAAGGGCTCCCCGACTGTGAGAGGGTGAGGGACCTCTCCCAGTGCACAAAATTTCATGCACCGGGACTCTAGTTTAGTCAATAAAAAGATGACAACAGCCAACACAACAATAGCCATCCAGTGCGAATGCCATCTTGAACCATAAATATATAGGTCACATGATAGAGTTGCATCTTATTGCTCACATCACATAATAAGGTTGCATCTGATTGGTTAATTCTTGGTAGCAGAAATCCTTATATACAAGTATAAGTACCTGTTTGTTTTTTTTAAGTCACTCTGGAGTAAAAAGAGTAATTACTATTTTTTTGTAAGTCAATCAAAATTATGCCAATTTTTTGTCAGATTGGCAACAAATATTTTGGTGTGCCACAGAATTTTAGTGATTAGCTTCTGTGTGCCATGAGATGAAAATGATTGAAAGTCGCTGCTCTACTCCAAGAGGAATACATAATCTCCTACACCATCTTCCTTTCTGCTTTTCTCAGTGAAATTCCCAGCCTTCCTGAATATCAGGCCCCCATCA